AAAAACACAATAATGAATACCACACTATTTCTGTCGCTGGATCAATGACGTGCAAATAGACACGGTGCCGTCGACCCACCCAGCATGACGCCATAAGCTTGACAACGCCGTCGTGTACGGCAGTGTGTAGCACCATCGAGTTCCATTCGTCTTTTCTATAGAATACGAACGGCGGTTTGCCTCTACTACGCACACCCAGGTGCTAGGATGTGCTGGTAACACGGTGCTATCCATGAAGACTAGTGACACGCCACTGCAACGTGTGCCTGTCCAAGTCCCTCGATAATGCCGCAGCGGCCAGCTTCCTGCAATGATAGCATCGGTATCTCAATGATCTACATTCTTTTTGCGATGCTGCACCAGTACGTGGCGCAACGGTACCATTCCTGGCGAGGCTCACGGCGTTGACGCGGCTAGCTGGCAACTCGAGCTCAGATCCACCGGCACTTCACCGGTCCGACAGAAGCGGGTGCGTTGGTCGTCGCTTGACAGGGCGTTCTCAGATGCAGTTATTGCCATGGCAGCCTTCTGCTTTGCGAGCTCCAGCCTTTCGCTCCCGGATCAAGAATGGGCAACATCGACGATAGCTACGGCATGGGAACCCTCTCACGTCGTGTTTTACGACTGAATTCTCATATTCGCCGTTAGCTACTTGAGAACATACTGGACAAATGACGTCGGGAGCTACCGGTACAATCAAACTCAGCCTATTGTACATGTCAAGCCGATCAGTGCAACGACGCTATGGGCTCGAGATCTACCGGGCGCCATCACTAAAGTCGCCACCATGGCCTCGCCTTGAATGTATCGATGAATGGGTTTCGCGTTATCATTGTTATACGTAGAGACTAGCTATCTCCATCTTCATCATCATTCGCTCGCCGGGCCGTTCAGGCGCCAGCGCTGGCTGGCTCGTCTTGTTCCTCTCTAGTCGCCCGGGGCGCTTGTGGCCGCGGGTGAGGCCATCACGACTCGCTGTCTAAAGGCCTTCCAGGCTTTGTCGGCGGCAAAGTTACGCAGTTTGTTGAGGTCCTCGAAAGACGCCAGCGACTGAGGCGGCTTTTGGAGGTCGCGGTGCAAGACGATCGGCAACGTGATCTTGGTGCGGCCTAAACAACTGAGTGCCTCGGGCACAGCGAAGAAGCGGGCAGAGGCAACGATGACAGGAACGTCTCTCTTCATGCGCAGTACGTGGTCCAGCAGGCGCTAGCGCTGGCGGGCAACGATCTCGCTCAGCGGGACGCTGTTGCAGCGGTCGTAGAACGCTACGTCGGCTAGCGTGGCCTTGGCTTGTGCAGAAAAAAGACGCTGTGCGACGGCGAAAGTAAGAAGATGCATCAACTCTACGTTCATATGAGCTGCTCGCCTGCATTTCCCGATGCTTACTACGTGGTGACCTTGCTGCCAAGGTCACCACATCCGA